TATATATATATTCTAATTACTATTAAAATTTATTTATTAACACGCTTTATTTTAATTAAGAGATATAAAGTATTCATTCCGATTACGAGGGATTATTTCCGTATCGTCATTTTTCGTCATTACCTCCACGTTCCGGGAGTGAGTAATTTACGCACCTGCTGCTTTCCTTGGACGTGGGAGCCGTTTCTCAGACTCCCTCCCTGGAATCGAACCCTGATTTCCCGTTACCCGTAACAACCATGATATTGATAGTAACTACTATCATAACATGAAACTAAAAAGTAAAAAATAAATATAGTTTAAAAAACTAAAAAAACACGCTTTTAAAGTACATCGAACTAAAAAGTTAAAAATAATTTTTAAAATAATTATGAACAAAAAATACTAGTATTATTGTGATAAAAGCGTCGGGCGCTCAATATACGAAAAATATGACACAAAGCACCCACGCTTTTATCACAATAATACTAGTATTTCTTGTTCATAATTATTTTAAAAATAATTTTTAACTTTTTAGTTCGATGTGCTTTAAAAACGTGTTTTTTTAGTTTTTTAAACTATATTTATTTTTTACTTTTTAGTTTCATGTTATGATAGTAGTTACTATCAATATCATGGTTGTTACGGGTAACGGGAAATCAGGGTTCGATTCTGGGGAGGGAGTNCGCACCGTCGCCATCAACGCTGCTAACCTTTTGACGCCCGAGGATCACGCCGGACATCGCGTCGTCGACGCCAACGAAAGTGCCACGATATTATGCGAAGATTATATATTCTTACCATCGCCGCTAATATTAATATATATATACATATATATATTATTATTTATATATACGTATATGTTAATATTCATTTATATATCCCTACAGCCGACGCCGCTGCCGCCATATATGCCTCGCGCCCCGCCCGCCAACAAAACACAGCTATACCTCGTGCATGATACGTTTACGTACTTAAGTCGCTTTACATGTATATATATATATATATATATTCTAATTACTATTAAAATTTATATATTAATACGCTTTATTCTCATTAAGAGATATATAGGATTTTATTCCGATTACAAAGGATGATTCCTGTATCGTCATTTTACGTCACTACCTCCACGTTGCGCGCCTGCTGCTTTCCTTGGACGTGGTAGCCGTTTTTCAGACTCCCTCTCCGGAATCGAACCCTGATTCCCCTTTACCCGTTACAACCATGATATTGATAGTAACTACTATCATAACATGTAACTAAAAAGTGAAAAATAAATATAGTTTAAAAAAACTAAAAAACACGCTTTTAAAGAACATCGAACTAAAAAGTTAAAAATAATTTTTAAAATAAGCGTAAAACAATAATGAACGAAAAGTACTAGTATTATTGTGATAAAAGCGTCGGGCGCTCAATATACGAAAAATATAGCACAAAGCACCCACGCTTTTATCACAATAATACTAGTACTTTTCGTTCATTATTGTTTTACGCTTATTTTAAAAATTATTTTTAACTTTTTAGTTCGATGTTCTTTAAAAGCGTGTTTTTTAGTTTTTTTAAACTATATTTTTTAAAGTATATTTATTAACACGCTTATATTAGTTTCACCTGTATGTATGTTTGTAACTCTCCAAACGCCACGCGTTATCGCATATTCCTTCGTCTAGACTAGACTGTCATAACGCATTCACCCCACCCCACGCCACGCTCATCTCACGCCGGCAATACTATTCCTGTATAAATTTATTATTGGTTATCGTACCCGTACACTCGTGCTTGTCATCAATATTATATATTTAATTACTATTAAAATTATATATTAACATACTTTATTCTTATTTAGAGATATAGAACTCATTCATTCCGATTACAAAGGATGAATCCAGTATCGTCATTTTTCGTCACTACCGCCATGTTCCGGGAGTGGGTAATTTACGCGTCTACTGCTTTCCTTGGTAGTGGTAGCCGTTTCTCTGACTCCCTCCCCGAAATCGAACCCTGATTTCCCGATACTCATAACAACCATGATATTGATAGTAACTACTATCATAACATAAAACTAAAAAATAAAAAATAAATATAGTTTAAAAAAACTAAAAAAACACGCTACTAAAGCACATCGAATTAAAAAGTAAAAAATAATTTTTAAAATAAGCTTAAAACAATAATGAACGAAAAGTACTAGTATTATTAGCATTCTGAATTTCAATAATTGCAGATTAGTGCATTCGTTAACTTATTTTTTTTTTATTAAAATTTACATTACATTTATTTAAAAATATTAATTTTAATTCATAATAAGAGAAAACAAAAAATATTAATTATTCAGCATTGATACTTTTTTTGACAGGTGCTTCATTTGCCACTTTATTCGTAAGTTTAGTTTTCAATACAATGTAAATAAATTATTACAGAATTTTTGATTGATCTAAGAGAGGCAATCATGCAAGTTGCTCGACATTTTGTTATAACTGATACCAAACTGAGTAATGTTTCTTTAAAACCAGATTTTACTAAAGAAAGTCATTCAAAGGATTTAGAAGCATTTGTTAATGTATCTCAAAATAAAAAACGCAGAGCTAAAGCATTATTAGGTATGAAAAACATAATTTGGTTTATTAAAAATTACTTAAACATAAAATATTATATTTTATAAAAAATTATACTTGTTCTTATTATTTATATACAATATGTAAAAACATGTATTAAGTTACAAGAATAAATGTGAAAACACATCAAAATATTATTACTTTTAGCTTCGATGCAAGGTTAAAAAGGTATTAATTTTACTATGATGTGTTTTTTCTTTTTTTTTTATGTCTGTTGCCACTTTTTCTCTGCTCTCACTGGACCGATTTATTTCAAAAGTCCTTTAAACATATGTCAAATTAAAGCTTATGTCATGTACTATAAAATTAAAAATGGTATCACAGTGGGGTCGAGGCACAGTGTGGACGAGGCATAGATGGGACAAGTATAGATGATATCTGACAGTGATTAAAATCACTATCATAAGAAACGCTTCGATGCAAATCTGTAGATAGTGTTTCCTTTAGAGAAATTGGTGAAATATTTTAAAAGCAACATGAACTCTTATTTCTTTAATTATATCCTGATTAGTAGTTCTTTGATTTTAAAATATAATATATGAATAAATACTAATTATAGTTTTTAAATTTAGTATGAAATTGTGAGGCCAGCTATGATGTATGGTTCATAGTGTTGGGCGGTTGATAAGAAAGTAGAGCAGAGAATAAGTGTAGCAGAGATGAGAATGCTTAGTTGGATGAGTGGAGTGACTAGAGAAGATAGGATAAGGAACGAGCATATAAGAGGAAGTATAGGTGTTGCGTCAATCGTGGATAAGATGACAGAAAATAGACTTAGATTGTTTAGTCATGGTATGAGGAAAGAAGAATCGAAAGCTGTAAGAACAGTTATAGAAATGAATGTTGAAGGAAGAAGAGATAGAGGAAGACCAAAAAAGAGATGGAGGGATGCTATTGAATGCGATTTGAGGACAGCTGATGTGAGCGTAGAAGATGTGGGAGATCGTGTCAAATGGAAGCTTAGGATAAGGGTGGCCGACCCCAAGTAGTTGGGATTAAGGCAAAGAAAAAGAAAAATATTACCAGAAATTCATATATTATATTTTAAAATAAAAGAANAGTATATATTCAAATATTATATTTTAAAATCAAAGAACTACTAATCAGGATATAATTAAAGAAATAAGAGTTGATGTTGCTTTTGGAATAATCCACCAATTTCCTACTTTAAAAAAAAAAAANCTTTTAAACAACTTTTGTGCGAAACTTTTTTTTGTAAGTTAAATATTTTTTTTTGAGAAAATTAAGAAAGCTCATATTTTTGAACTTTTGCGAGGATTTAAAAAAAAAGCTCAATTCCAATCTTGAGGACTATTAGTATGTCATTATACATATTTTAATTCAACTTTTAAAAAAACAAAATTTTTTCCGCAATTTTTCCTTTGTTGACAGGCCTAGATGTCAATTTTAAACTTGTAATTGAGCTAAAAGTTATGGTAATATATACAATTAATTTTACTATAAACTTTCATAAATCTTTATCAAAAATTTTTCATCAACTTTAAAGAACCAAAAAAATAGGTTAAAATTGAAAATTTGGACTGATTATTTTTAACATATTAAAAATCAAATCAGTAATAATTTGAAAACAAATTTTTTTTTCTTTTAATTATTATTTTATATATATAATTAGTAATAATATAAAAAATTAGAAGTGATAGAAATAGTCTACTTGCAGATTTGAAAACAACGCGAAAATTTGATTTAGAAAAGTATATTTTTGCTTCTGATGAAAGTTCCTTGTAGTCCAGTGCATTTTTTTATAGTAACAAACAGTTTTTATTGAAAATTATTGTATCAAGCCCTTTAAATTTTTATACACGTAAAAGTAAAGCAAAATATAACTTCTTTATTATTTTTATAATTTCTCCGTTTAAATTACAATATTAAATATCAATTTCATACTAAATTTAATAATTATAATTAGTATATATTCATATATTATATTTTAAAATCAAAGAACTACTAATCATGATATAATTAAAGAAATAAGAGTTGATGTTGCTTTTGGAATAATCCACCAATTGCCTAATTAAAACAAAAAAAAAAAAAGTTTGTTGGGAATTTTTTCTGCTATTCTGCAAAATTACTCCTTCGTTGACTAGAATGAATCATTAAATAGAAAATTTTATGAGAATTAAAACAATGTTATTTTTAAGATTAATATGCAGTCAGAAAGTTTTATAATTATTATTTATTGTAAATTTATCAGAAAAACTCATTATTTTTTGCATTTTTATCGTAATAGAACACTTAAATAGAAATCATAGTAATCATTTCTAAGTAATTTTTGATATTTAAAAAGATTCTACTATTGAAATATCCAGAACTGAATTAATTTTAATGATTTACTTTAACTAAAAAAAAAAAAGTTAATATTTTGAATCCCTCTTGTGGGCAGGTAAAGGGTTAGATTTATAAAAAAAACCAAATGATAGATAAAGACATGCATCTAAATAAAAAAAAATATACTGATTTGGTCATTTTTGATAAAGTTATAACAATTAACAAAGTTATAAGTTTTATACACTGGACTACAAGGAACTTCCATCAGAAACAAAAATATACTATTCTAAATCAACTTTTCGCGATGTTTTAAAATGTGCAATTAGACTTTTTCTATAACTTCTAAGTTTTAATATTATTAAAAAATAGTTTTTACATATAAAAAAAAATAATTAAGAACAAAAAAAATTGTTTTAAATTAATACTGATTTGATATAATATTTAATATTAATTTGATTATTAATAAGTTAAAAATAAGGAAAATGACATATTTAACCTATTTTGTTAATCGTTTAAAGTTGATTGTTGTAAATGTTTATAATAAAAAAAAAAAATTTATTTTACCATAACTTTTAGCTCAATTGGTAAGTTTGACATTGACATAATTAAATAGAAAATTTTATGACAATTAAAAAAATTGTATCGTTAAGATCAATATGCAGTCAGAAAGTTTTATAATTACTATTTATTGTAAATTTATCAGAAAAGCTCAATATTTTTTTGCATTTTTATGGTAATAGATAACTTAAATAGAAGTAATAGTAATAATTTCCTAGGAACTTTTGTTGTTTGTTGAAAAGATTCTATAATTGAAATATTGAGAACTTAATTAATTTTAATGATTTACTTTAACTAAATGTACCAATCAAAACAAAGTTGTTAAAAAGATTTACTCAATTGAGTGTATTATAAAATTTGATTATATTTGTAAAAATCAATTGTTAATTCAGGAGAAAAAACAATCATTTTTTTTAGAAATGATTTATATAGCAACATGTTACAAAAAAAAATTGTAATATTATAGTCTAGTAGTAGCACACACAAATAGAGTAAAAAAATTATTAAATTACAAAGTAAAATGATTTAATTTTGTAGTTGAAACCTATCATATCAAACTTCATTCGTTAATAAATATTTTGAAAACATTAGAAATTAATGATTTTAATTGTCTTTATGGAGACGATGTAATAACTAACTGTTTAATTGATAAATTAGAATTTTTTTTTCAATTTTTGAGAGTAATATCTTCAACTAGATACGAATTGTAGTCATTGGACGTATCGTTGAAAAAAGTAGGTCAAGTTAGAGCAGAGAAAATAAATGATATTCACAAAAAAACATCTTCTCGGCTTTGCATCGAAGCTAAAACTTAAAATATAGTAAAATAATTTTAATACGAATAAGAAATTTCTTCTTGCAAGGGGCGACTAAAGTGATGGGATCATTGATCTTTATTGAAGTTATTGAATCTAAATGAGTTAAAAATTTATACTAATATAAATTTAACTTAAAAAGAATTAAGAAAAAATGCAAAAATTTCACTGCCATACGCGGGTTGGAATCTCGTACCCCAAGCGTGTAAGACATAAGTTTTACCAACTCAGCAATCGTACGTCGCTATCGCCGATTGAAAAAATTAGCTATTTAAGCTAATTCAAATTTCAAAGTTATTTTTCTCGATTAAAAAGAAGCAAACGAATTTAAATAAGTTTAACTTTCTATACTATATTAACTTTAACTTATATAATATTTATGAAAATCTGTACTCCCCTAGTCAGGTATTTTAAAATAAAATAAAATACAAATCCCAGAATTTTAACACAAAAATAGCAAAAAAACTTTTTCAAAAATGAACGTATGAATATAATTTTTTTTTATATAGATGGTTAATGTCTTTACCTATCATTTGGTATATTTTTTTTGTAAATTTGACCTTTTTTCTGACCACAGGGGGGGATATAAAATGACAACTTTTTCACAAAAAATTAACTTTTTCAACTTAACTTTTGAAAATGTTCCGGAAGGTCTGACACTTTTATATATATCTTAAATTAAAGCTAATGTAATGTACTTTAATTTGAAAAAAAAAAAATTTGAACTCTGGACTTGTCTTCATGGTGAAAATGGCTACCGAATGCTATTTTTGTGTGACAATTTTTGATTTTATAATTTACATTTTTTACTTTAAAGTGCTATAACTTTTTAAAAAATGTATGGATCCGCACAATATTTTCATGAGAAGTAGTATTTATATACATCTTTCATTGGATATACTTTTTTTTTAAATCAGACTATTTCCCTATATATGGGGGGGCTTCAAATATAAAAAATGCATATAGAAA